TTGATTTCGTAAAAAGATGAACTAGGGAGTAGGGAGCTTCATCAATCAGTGTTTACCACTTTGAAAGTAGAACGTCAGCGCTTTACAGCATTCCTTTTATATTTTACCTTTATCCACTACTCCAATAAGACGGTCTTGCTATGGCTTACGTAGCCCTGGATAAGGGCCATAACGAAGTTGCTAGTGTGATAAATGCTATTTTTTGGCAATCAGTGTACAGGTCATGCCTGGCATTTCACTGTAAAATGTCCTCTCGACATTGCTCGGTGGTGGTTTTATACCGTCGCTTTACGCATGCATATGAGTCACAAGACCGGCGTACTGTCACTGATAGTGCTCGCGTTTGGAAATTCCTCTCTTTATCAGTCTGATATTTTGCAATACCAGGCACTCCGTTCTCATTCCCTTATAGAAGTTTTTTGCCTTCGTTCTTCTCTGCGATGCACTAATCTCGATAGAATAGAGACTTGAATAGCTCACTCTGTCGGCACACGGTTGGTTGCTTTACATAGAAAGAGCATGACGACAATTCTTCGAAAGTGCTGAGAATTCGTGACGAATTTTGAGATACACTAATCGAGTGTGTGACTGGAATGTTACAAAATTCGTCATTTCTCGCTTATTTCTCAAGACGAAAAGAAGGCAGAATAAAAAAATTGTGCGGGATTAGTTCTGTAGTATAGGAGCGTATGTGAAGAGAAACTCGGATTCCGAGTATAAGCACCAGCTGAAGCTGTGATCCTAGGTAGCTGGAACTTCCTGTTGCAGTGCCCATTTCTTTCATGTCTTGGAAAAATAGTGAGGCAGTCGGTGGTGTATCTCGTGCTGCTGAACCTTGAAGTCTCAGTTATACCGACCTTCGTTCTCCACCGGCCGCTCATTATCTGATTTAGACCATTTTCTTTACGTCGCAATAGCTTTCACGGTCAGTTGCACCGTAATTTGAATGACTGTCACATGGGGATATTGTGCACTTCTGATACAGCGATGTGCTTGCATTCCATATTCTGGTCATGGTCACCTAAATATCGCGAATATCCGGAGTACTGAGGCAATTTGAGTTAAAGCCAATACTTCGATCTAATTTTGCAATTCTGGAATCGTTTGAGCGGCTCAAACAGGCGAACGAAAAGGCACTCGCTCAGGTGAGAACCCGGGTTGGACTTGCGTGCGCGGGCTATGTATATATCGCCTCTAATCCCTAATTTACATACATACACCTCTATGCCTACTGCATCACGACCAGTCTCACCCCAGACCAATTGTTTGTCTACGATCCTGAACTGGCCAGGTCCTTTTCGTTGACGTACTTCTCTTCGCGCAAGTATGTGCCTTGAGAAAACTTCTATGATGTCTATATAGAAATCACTGGTCCTCTCCGAATTGGTCGTTCCTGTATGGTTTTATCACCCATTGAATGCGCAAGTGCTAAATAGCGCCAAGTGTCGGTTCGTATTGACAGTGGGACTGCGAGCTGTTCTTTGGGTTAAGCAAACAAATGACCATCGGTTGCGCGTCTTTATCTCTAGCAAGCGACTCTTTGTCTGACCACCAAATAACTGCAGCACTTCTAGTAACTTGCGAAACTTTTCGAGCTGTACTTTCTGTCAGTATAGATTTTGGGCCAAAGCGACCCGTACGAATCGTGGCGGCCTCTTTTCATGGAGCACTAGCCGATCGGGCGCCTCCCATTCTCTTTGTTCCCTCGCCGCCGACCGCGCCTGCATCTCGTTTGTAGTCTTTCGCTTTTTTTGCTCCACTGAATGACCAGGAGTTACTTTTGTTGGCTACAAAACAGTGTTTCGTTTCATTCACCGTACCAGGATTTGATAAACTGGTCAAATCGTTCTCTCATTGGTCAGGTTTACTTAGGGCTTTCATGTGACCGTATTATCTTACCACGTGCAATCGATTGTGTGCTCTGAACATTCAAGAATCAAGATGAGCGATAATGAGTTCTTGGCAGTCTGTGCCCGGGCAATCTAGTAATAGTGTCATCGATATTTTGGTTCAGCGACCCGGTTTACGTGTGTGGCTAATTGTGACGCTACGGCCCTGATTTGGGAGATTGCGGTGCAAAGTCGTTCCGCACTAGGCTCCACATTCTTTCATGTTCCGACCACCCTACTGGATGGGATGCGTAAATTGCGCTCTGTACTTCACATCCGTGTTTGGGCGTAGGTGAATTGG